GTATATTCACAAAATCAAATGATGATTGGGAGGTATATAAAACTCTTAGGAATAAATGTGTATATGTAATTAGAGAAGAAAAAAGAAAATTCTACGATAAACAAATCGATAATAACAAGTGCGACAGTGTAAAGATGTGGAAGACTTTAAAAAGACTGATCAATTCGAAGCCGCATGATTGTGTAAATCAAGTTCAATTCGAAAACGGTACCGAAACAAATTCTTTGGTGATTGCAAACAAACTAAATGAATATTTTGTGGAAAGTATTGTTGATATTGTAGGTACTGCCAATGCTGCACCTGACTATATGAAAATCAGTTTCCAGGGGGAAATGTTGCATACACTTTCAAAATTTCACAGCGTATCATTGAATTATCTAAGAAAAGAAGTAAACAGTTTAAAATCAAATAACAACTGTGCCGAAATGACTACTAAAAACGTGCTGAAAAACTGTTTCGAAATTTTGGGATATCCTGTATTAAATTGGATCAATTGTTCACTGAGGAGCAGTTCTTTCCCTGAAAATTTGAAATGCTCTACAATAACACCAGTTCCCAAAATAAAAAATTCTAAAAGATGCAGCGATATGAGACCAGTAAATGTGTTACCAGACATCGAAAAATTATTAGAGTCCATAGTACATGACCAATTAATGCAGTTTATAGAAGAACACAAAATTTTAGTGGAGGCGCAAGCAGGCTTTTGAAAAAAATATTCCACAGAAACAGCTTTCCAGTTGGTAACTGAGAATTGGAGAAGAGCCATAGACTCAGAAGAAGTTGTCATAGCAGTATTTTTGGATTTGAAGAGGGCATTTGAAACGATTGATAGAGATATTTTGTTAGGTAAATTGAAGGCATATGGTATAACAGGAAGTGTTTTAGATTGGTTTAGAAATTATTTGTCTAAAAGGATGCAAGTTACAAAAGTTAATGACACTATTTCATCAAAAATTGAAAATACGTTGGGTGTTCCACAGGGCAGTATCCTGGGACCACTTCTTTTTATTTTATACATAAATGATTTACCTGCCATAGTCAAAAAATGCAAAATTCAAATTTTCGCCGATGACACTATTATTTATATAAGTACTAAAAATATTCAGTCTGGTATCTCTTATATAAATGAAGACTTGAAGCTTGTCTCAAAATGGTTAGCATCTAACAGACTAAAATTAAATGCAAGTAAAACGAAAGCCTTGTTAATCGGAAAAAAACAATGTACAAATGTTCAACTGAATATTGATGGTGCAGATATTGAATTCGTAGAAAATTTTAAATACCTGGGAGTTTTTGTTGACTCTCGATTAATTTTTGATATTCATTATGAAAAAGTTATAAATAAGATTAGTAGTAAAGTGGGATATTTATCGAGAGTTTCTGGATGTCTGAGTTCATATAGCAGAAAAATTATCTATAATACCATCATTCTTCCAAATTTCTTGTACTGTTCGACTATTCTATATTTAGCAAATAATTCCATTTTTGAAAGACTGCAAATTTTACAAAATAAGTGCATGAGAATAATACTAAATAAAGATAAATATACTCCAATTAGGCAAATGCTTAGCAAATTAAAATGGCTCAATGTAAAAATTTTTATCAAATATCTTGTAATGATATTCATTTATAAAGTAAAAAATAATATATTTCCATCAAGTCTAACTAATTTAACATCATCAAATGTCGACCATCATTTACATAATACCAGAAATAAAGATGACTTCCATTTAATGACCAAAAAGTATAACATATGCTACAAATCTGTATTCCATCAAGGGTTGATTGAATATAATAAATTATACTCGGAGATAAAAGACCAGAAAACTTTGACAAAATTTAAAGTAAAATTGAGAAGTCACTTGTTAAATCTACAATTATAGGTTGCCCAGCATTTACATCATACACCATATGGCTTGAATTTACTAGTTCTAAGTTGTTTACAATTGTTCTGTTTATGTAGCCAAATGTGCTAAATAAATCTTTCTACTACTACTACTACTATGGAAACATTGAACAGCGGCTTCTATACAGGGTGTTCCATAAGTATTGCGACAAAATGATAGGGGTTGTAGGGCGCATAAAAATATGCTATTTTGCCTTATAAACCCCTGTTCGTAAATATGCCGTTTGAGCACTACCGCTAATTTTACCTTAAGAGCTCATAGGAGAAACAAAAAATTCACCAGCTGTAAAATGTTCGTCTAGCACATTTCATGGTCTCGCCGGTTTGTAAAAAAAAGCCTGCTGTGTTTACATTTATGTTATCGTTATATCTCCACACCGATTCATTTAATTTATCTGAGTGGTGCGTCAAAATAGATAGTAAATAACAGTACCTTAGTATTAAAATGCAGCGTTATTCGTATGCGGAACTTGCGGATATGCATTTAATTTACGGAGAAGCTGGTGGTAACGGAAGACGAGCCTCGCGAATCTACGCCCAACGGTTTCCAGAACGTCCTCATCCGCATCACGCCATTTTTGCAAGGATTCATGGACGTCTTCGTGTCAGTGGCAGCATCAGACACCTCGCGGGAGCAGGGCGGCCCTTCACGAGGCGCACATAGAATTTGAGGAAGCGATTCTGCATCATGTAGAGGCCAATACGCGTACAAGAGTGCGTGCTATTGCACATGATATGGGAGCGTCTCAAACTACTGTTTGGTGGGTTCTCCATGACCAGCAACTACACCTATACCACCTTTTAAAAGTCCAAGCCATGGGTCCAGAAGACTATCTGCCGCGTCGACGTTTTTGTCGTTGGTGGCTGCAGCAGGAGTTGACGCAACCAAACTTTGGTCGCTACGTTTTGTTCACTGACGAGTCCTGTTTTACAAAGGACGGTTATTTTAATAGCCGCAACAGTCACATTTGCGATGAAGAAAACCCTCATGGCATAGCCATCCATAGAGACCAATATCAGTTTTCAATTAACATCTGGTGCGGCATTGTGCACGAGCATATCATCGGGCCATATTTGCTTCCAGCACGTTTGGATGGGCATGCTTATGGTCAATTCTTACAGCATGTGCTACCGGAACTATTAGAAAATGTGCCACTGAACATAAGAGCCAACATGTGGTTTCAACACGATGGCGCTCCAGCCCACTTTTCTTTACAAGTATTTGGACGACAAATTTCAAAATAGGTCGATAGGCCGAGATGGCCCTGTGCCTTGGCCTGCGCGGTCACCCGACCTGACCCCACTGGATTATTTTCTCAGGGGCCATCTGAAAGCTTTAGTGTACGAAACTCCTGTTCCCAACCAACAAGAGCTACTGGGAAGAGTGATGGCCGCGTCCGCACATGTTCAGGACATACCGGAGAGTTCGCCGATCATTGAACAATCGTGCACAGCTGTGTATTGAGCAAGGTGGAGGACACTTTGAACAATTACTGTAGGTAAGCTGTTTCAAGAAACTGATCTTTTTTTGTTGATGCAGCCCAAACGGCATATTTCCGAACAGGGTTTTTTAAGGCAAAATTGTTCATTTTGATGCCCTCTACAACCCCTATCATTTTGTCGCAATAATTATGGAACACCCTGTATATAGAGATCTTTTTTTGGGTAACCATTTTGTAACTGGATACATTTTATTTTGTGGAGATCGCACCATATCGTAAGCGGTAAGTGATATACACCGAGTATCAAATTTGACTGACGGGCGCGAGTTCCATGTGTATGAGAGAGAAGCGCGAGACGTGTGTAAGGCATATATGTTAGAAAGAGATATAAGCCGACTGGATAGCAAAGCTCATCGTCACGTTGCCCAGCAACGGTGACGCAGAAGATCGTGCAATCTGTCGCGTTGCCAATATGTTACACCAGAAAATGTTCGCACAGGCTTCTACAGGGTGGGCCATTAAGTTGAGAGGATTTTAAAAAATCATAGAAAAAAAATACAAAGCATAGGTAAGATAATTTATGTTTTTAATGAAATAGACACATGGGAATTTTATTTTTTAAAATAACATCATTGAGATATGAGCCATCGAGACGTACGCACTCCTCGAAACTCGATTTCAAATTCGTGAAAAACGCGCTGGCACATCGCTCGTGGGATAGCGGACATCTCATCGGAAATGTTGTGGTTGAGCTGGGCAATCGTCGTCGGTTTATTGGCATAAACGCGGTTCTTGATGTATGCCCAGAGAAAAAATCCAGTGGCTTGAGATTCCTGGTCCGGGAGGCCACGGAATGTGCCCTCGTCGCGGTATCAGTTTTCCACTAAACATTTCGTTTACAACTGCTGGCGGTATGGGTTGCCGCACCATCTTGTTGAAACCAGGTCCTGCTATGGTAGGCTTCAAAATTGTGCAGTTGCAGAAAGAAATGGACACGTAGCATTGCTGTGTAGCGATTAGAATTTACTGTTACAGTCTGTCCTTGCCCGTTTTCGAAGAAATAGAGTGTGATGATTCCTTCAGCCATCCTGGCCGCCCAAACTATAACATAACGCAAATGCAAAGGTCGTTCGTGTTTTAATATGGGATTTTCTGCGGCCTAATACCAGTAATTTTGCTTATTGACAAATCCACTCAAATGAAAATGAGCTTCATCAGAAAAGAGAATATTGTTCAAATTTGAAAAGCGCTCTTACATTGTTTCGGCAAACGCACAGCGTAGATGGAAGGGAGAGATAACCCTTTCAACTTTCTAGAAATGTCTTTTAATGACTAACTAAACATGTCCCAATCTTGGAGCGAAATCTTTATTTGCCAAAAAAGCGTTTCCAATTTTAATTGACACCCGGTATAGTGTGTGTCGTCATTTCGTTTCTTATATAAATATATATCATACTTCTAAGAGATCTCATCTCTGATATGGTTTGTTGTCCCATGACCTATATCACAGTAATATTCCTACTGGGCATGAAACGGCGGCGTATACGGTGGGTACAGATTGTAGAATAAAAGCAATTCAACTCGCTAAATTTCTGTAATTGTGAATGTGATTTGCATACTAAGGCTTTTTTAATGAAACACCGGTTGTGAATAGACTTTATATTCTCATATACATTTTTTGCATGAAATCAACAAGTGGTTCTTATAAATATACGATGACATGTTTGCATTTGCCATTATTTTAATACTTAATTATTTTGAAAATCTCACAATAAATTCACAAAGGATTGCAATAAAATGACAAAAATTATGTAGGCCAAAAAAAGATGTCTCACAAAAATAAGCTAGTGGGTGTATTAACGCTTCAATAGCGACCTAAAAAGAGGAGCAATTCTGAATCGATGGTAGCCTTGTAGAGAATGCCGTCGAAATTGTTGCGTGGTGTGAGCAAATACAAAAGGCTACTCTACACGGGCATATTTTTCAGATGAGGAGTGGCTTTCTACTGAAAATGTCTCGCGCTTGGTTACCTTTATCCCTTGCCGTATTTCAGTTTCTCAGTTTATTGGAATTTGAGCAAACTGACGCATGCTTCACGCTACAGATCTTTTGAAAAAGCCGACTAGCATTTTTGTGACTCACTAGATACTAAATCTTCAAACTTTTTGAAGTTTGTCAATTGGAATGCTTTGGGGTAAAAAAATCTCAGAAGATACTATTAAAGCAAGTGCTGCTGAATAAGTCGTAATGATACAAGCGAATGGTAAAAATTTCGCAACCTGCATATTAGTACATCTCTGTTCTGACTACAGTTTATTCTTAATAGTGACAAATGCAAGTAGACAGAAACAATCAATAAGCATTCCGATCTAAATCAAAATGAGGAATTCAGTTCCAACAAATTGTTTTGCATCAACAGCTATACGTTTACATACAAAAATATATCTTGCATCAAATGACAATATGGTTTTACTGCACTTAGCAATGTCACTAAATAAAGAACTACATGGCAGTTGTTTGTCTTTCTTTCAAGAAAGGTGTATGTATATAGTATATAATGTATATTAAATCACTGTCGCTTACAATTCTTATAAAAAGATAGAAAAAATAATAAAAAATAACGCATCACACAAGTGAAAAACCTTCTGTTTGTTGAATAGCCTGCATTAATTTATACCTGAGCCTTTCCTTCGTTTTGTATCTTGGTAAATCCAGAAGATTAAAACAAGTGTGGGCGACAGGCAGGAATTTGTCATCATTGGTAGGTTGAATGGTGATCTGTAATTTAAATGGAATTTCTAATATAGATGAACCCAGGGTATTTGCAAAACATAAGACATCTATTCAAGGGACTATTTCAAGATAATTTTTTCATTTGGCAACATTCGAAAAACAGAGTCTAAGGTATATGCAACGACAGACGACATGGAAAGTAAATAGGTCCAATACTAGTATATACTCAAAAACTATGCCAACGCTAAACGCATCATAACTACGATCTATGATTAGGGTTGCCGTCAGTCCAGCTTTTTTATATCCTGCCTGGACAAATGTTTACATATCTACACTGTCCGGCATTTTGGTCTACGCGGTATTCGTATAATCATATCAACCGGCTATGGAGAGAATTTTACAAATGTTCAGGCCACCGCTACACCCCCCCTCCCCACCCCCGGGCGCTCTCCAATTTTTCATTCGCAACCTCCTAACAAAGATATCAGCCCTATCTATGCTGAAATTATTGTTTTGCTACAGAACTACAGAACTAATATGGGTGTACAGTATTCATGGAAAATGTGCGACTGAAATGTTAATGAAAAGGCCGTTCAGTTGCTGCAGTGTTTTCAACATGATTTCAATAGATAAACAGGAGTTAAAAGTGACTCTAACCAGAACGTACTTAACGACCGTATCATCAGTTGTTCCTACAATTATTTTGGGACGACTTTATGGCCTCCTTGATTAGCAAAATATTTTCTCTCCTTCAGAAAGGCTGGGGTATTTCTAGATTTCAACTGTTCCGTGTCAGCTTCAGCGCTCTCGTATTATGAGACTATGTTTTCTTTTTAAATTGTAGGAAATTTCATTATGGCATAACAGATGATATAAATCAAAAGCATGAACAATTTGACGCAAATATATATTTGCCAGATAGAGCGCTGACATGGAACAGTAGAAAACTATGAAAATCAAGGAGGCCATAAAGACGTCACACAAATGTAGGAACGACTGGCAATACGGCCCTAAAACACAAACCTATAGTCAACTTTGAAATCAACGTCACCAATACAAAGTGATGCAAAGATAAATAATAAGAAGAATAGCGTCATCGAAACTGTAGATGCTTTTTCGCTGAAAAACTTGAAGCTGTTAGATTAAAGCAGCATTTTCTTCAAATACGTTATTTTGTTTTAATTTTTTATACAGTATAGAGTATAGTCTCTTCTACATTAAATACTTCAATGTAATCAAAAAACAAAAATATCACGTGTTCTCTATTTTATGATCTAAATTTTCATCTTAAAAGCTGATGGAAGGAGAATTATATGGTATATCACTTACTTTTATTGCTTTCATGCCCTGTATGGGTATCCGATAACTTCCTGTGAGGAAAAGTAGGAATTTTTTTCTATCTGCTTCTGACATCTCATGAATGACTTCCCAAAACCATCTTATTGTTTGGTCTGATGATTTATACCTGTATTTTGGAAACAAAAATAATACCATAGTAGGTGTGAACAACAGCACATCAAAAAACTAACGCTACTTTTCATATTTACAACCGCAGTTTTCATCAGAACATTACGATAGTGAGTAAAACTAAAATCATTATTTTTTAGGGTGGGATATTTTTGGTATGAAATATACCCTGAACGAGTCTTGATGCTTAGATTGGCGTCTTTTCTCATGTCGGACACTTTTGACAAGAACATCAAATAGGGTTATTTGTTTCTTTTCATATGAACTAGCCACTTACCCGTTTTTGTAATCCGCAGCCTCTTCTAATGCGTGCCAATCATAGTTTTCGTTGCCTATTACCACAGCCATTAGTTCATGAGAATGGAATAACTGGAGTACCCTACCATCACATACTTTCATGAAAGCCATATGAAATGCCTCGTACTGAGTCTCAACTGACTTGTTAAATATGTAATCTACATACAAATCAACGTATTCCTGCCTATAAAATGTATTATAATTTAATATCGTGCATAAATGAAGCTGCATTTTAGTACTGCAGAAAGCAAACATTTTATTCCCAGTGACTGTAGATATGAATCACCAAAAAACCCTCAATTCTTAAATCTCTCTACAACTTGAAGTTTTTCCAATTTATTGCGAGTCAACAATAAGCTTATGATCTATACCCTATTCAAGCCTCGCTTCCTTCGCGTCAGAAAAAACATGAGTATCTGATTTCTGCATCTATTCGCGTGTCCCTCCCAGACCAAGGCATTTTGTCACGTGCCAAAATCACGTAACCTATTTTTTTACTATGTTGACCACTTTTCAGTAATTTGAATTTCTCGTTATTAATGGTAGAGTGCGATTCCTAGGACGAACCCTTTTTAATGATTTTCTTTTGGCAAATTTCACAGTTTATTGATTGTATAATTTCACACGTATTATATCTTTCTTTCTCAGCGACTCAGTACTGTGTTGCAATCATTTGGACACTAATGTTATAGTATTACTAACGACTATCTCAGAAATTTCCTCATAAAATATCGTTGGTCCCTCGTAGAGTTGGTTCCGCCCATTGCACAGTGATTCCCCTTCCATACTACGGCGGCCATAAATACACAACTTTGATTTAACCTTTTTCATTGTCTCTTTAACCTTAAAATACAGTTGTACAAACATGAAAATACAATTTATAAAATTCTTTTTTTGGAAAAAAATACTAAGTAGGTACTAAAAATGGTACTCAGTATTTTTTTGTTTTATATATTTTAGATCAACCTTATATTAAAGAAATAAAATAAAACAGTTCATAATAAGGGCAAACAAGATATATTGAGAAAAATATAAGCTCTAATATTTATAATACAGTATAATGGAAACAATTAAGTCAACAAATCCAACACAGATTTTGACAATATGTCTTTTTTAAAGAGGTAACTTTCGTAAACCACTACCCTCTTTAGGGTGCCAAATCTCAAAAATAGTCCTCCTCGAAACGGAATACTTAAAAAATTTACCTAAAACAACAACAAAATTGGATTTGGAAAACTCCTCTTTTTCCTGTACTATGAACTTATATGGTTCGGCACCTCACAAACCTAAGAAGGGGCAGCAAAATGAAGATGAACCTATATGCCCCTAATCTAGACATGCTCTACTTCAAGATAACATTCATCTCAGCTGCAGCAAGGCGCAGCCAAAACTTTATAACTCGAAATGAAATAATTGTGTAGGAAAAAAATCTAGCAAAAACAACTTTCAATAAAACATTTATATAAAACTCCAAAACGATTTTTTATATAAAACTGGAAATAATAAGAGTACATACCATATTCTTGCACCTCCATATTATCACTACACTAGTAAGTTACTTGTAGTGACATACACGTCCCGGTAATCAGACTCGAGAAGTTGTCACTTGGGATGAACGAAAGTAAATGACAGTTTGAACTAATTACATTGTTATTCATATTTTTTAAAAGCCTCGCGCCTACTCGACATCTTAGCGACTCATTTAGACCGTTATAAAAAGTTTTTTGGATTTTTGGCCTATGGAGGAATCACTGTGCATTGACAACCAACACCAGCTTGTATTTTCTGCACGTACTAGCCATATAGGAATATTTGCTATCAAGATACCTTATTTTAAAAATATGTATGGAATATTTGATTTGCCGTCAAGATTTCTTCTTTACCTATCAAGATACATTGTTTTAAAAACTTGCCTGTACAGATGCGTCCAGCGCCATTTTCTTTTTCTTTCTGCTGAGGTTTGGTTGTGCGTGGGTCGCTTCCAGATTCTGGGATTTGGACCCCCAACCACCAGATTATGGAGTAGCATCTTTTATTTGGTTCCTTACGTTTAGTTGTTTTGGTTTGGGTGCTACCCGGTCCATTTTATTATGGGATTTTAACCTTCAGAGTGGGAAGGGGTGGCTTCCAGTAAAATCGGCTGCGAAACAGCTACAAGGCAGCTACAAAACAAAGCTGGAGGAGTGTGACGTGGTACAAAAAGGACTTACCGCTGAAGGTGAAAATCCCATAAGAAAATGGACGGGGTAGCACCCAAACCAAAACAACTAAACGTAAGGTACCAAATAAAAGATGATACTTCATAATCTGGTGTTTGGGGGTCTAAACCAAACCTCAGCAGAAAGAAAAAGAAAATGGCGCTGGACGCGGCTGTACACCCAAGTTTTTAGAACAAGGTATACTGATAGGTAAAGAAGGTATCTTGATAGGAAATCAAATATTCCATACAGATTTTTAAAAGAAGTTATCTTGATAGGAAAGCAAATATTCATATACGGCTAGTACGTGCAGAAATCACAAGGTCGCTCTGGTTGCCAATGGGCGGAAAAAACTCTGCGAGGGATCAACGATATTTTATGAGGAAATTTCTGAGATAGTCGTTAGTAATGCTATAACATTAGTGTCAAAAAGATTTCAACACAATACCGAGTCGCTGAGAAAGAAAGATATAATACGTGTGAAATTATACAATCAATAAACTATGAAATTTGCAACAAAAAAAACATTAAAAAGGGTATGGTCCGAGGGATCGGCACTCTACCATTAATACAGAAAAATTCAAATTACTGATAAGTGATCAACATTGTAAAAAAAAGCTTACGTGATTTCAGCAATAGGAGCGCGTGAATTTCAACTTCGCGAGCTGGTGTTTGTTTTGATGGATAGTAAATGAGATTTTAATACACATTTGTATTAGTAAAAAGGAACATTGTCGAGTTCAAACAAATCAAATATAATAGAAAAAATAATATAGTGATTTAACTTACTTATTTTCTTGAGTGACTTTGATATTAGCTCCATTTGGCTTTAAAGGTACGGTTACCATTTCTCCATATATTTCTCTAGTTATTTCAAACGTCAAAGAAAATACTTCATCCAAATCATTTTCAGTATATTCTAATAAACTTTGCAAAGAGTTGGCCATCATTGGTGATAGACCTCTGACGTCACTCAATCCTATAGGCTCTTTCAAAAGCTTTTTATATAATGCCAGCGGAAACGGGACATCGATTATTGTAAAATTGTATATAGCTAAACCGAGGATCATGCCTGTAATACAAAAAATCAAATTCGAAGGACAGTATACAAGCATATGTGTAGGCAAAAACTAAACTATTATTTTATGAAAATGAGTAAGCCTTGTAAGTATGACGCGTCACTGTAAAAACCGAAGTTGGAGTGTGGCTTGAAGCTTGAAACACAATGGCTAGCTTATCCCTTATCCCCTATAAATGTCCGCATGTTTCCACACCTAAGCTACGCAGTTGGTTATCTTCCCAACAAAGGAATTAATGATGATGCAGCCCTCGAGTACTAAGAATTCCGGACGTAACCTCACTCCAGTCTCGCAACGTCTGGGTGGAGGGTGGACTCGAGGGAACAACATCGAAGATAAAATTTGTTTCACGAACATTTGCCGGATTAACACAACATTTATGCTGTTCATCACTACTTGCAATCCAATCGTCACGCCATGCTTTTCTTAGCGGAGACAAACATCTCAGAGTCTGCACCGATTAACCATCTTAGCTTCCCAAATTACGAGGTGCACTCCAATCTGAGAATGAACGAGGGCTTTGTGGCTTTTCTCCGCAGCAGTTTTTCCTGGTCCACATATGTGTCTTTGGAATCAGACCGGGAGGATATTCTGTGGTTTTGCCTCAACTCCAAAACATCCCCCAAATTTATTTGCTGCCTTTATCGCTCTCCCACGGACCATGACTGGGATGACAAACAGACAAGCCGACGTCGAGTCCAGAAACAAATATAACGAACCAGTTCGCAATGCCACCCAAACCAGAACGATATAAACAGTTAGGCACAGGGTACTGTTCGCAGCGTAATGGCAGTCGGTCTTTTAAAGGTCAATGCGTGTTGTGCTTGTCCAGATCTTGCTGCCAATCCCACTCTGGTTGCCCCCCCCCAACGCGCAAGTGACCGTCGATTCGAAGGCTTCCCCACACTATACAGGAAGTAACATCCAGGCATAAGCGTGAGACGGGTGATCTTGTCGCTCAACATCAACCAACGCTTCTGGTCCAGACTTGATTCCTGCCATTGCACTGCAAGATGGTGTCAGCGGAGCTTGCTCCAGTACTTTCGGTCTTTCCAGTATTTATGACTCCGGCACCTTCCAGAAAACCTGGAAATTTGCCTCATGTCCAATCATCCCAAAAAAGGGATCTTAGGCCTGAACCTTACAACTACAGGTCTATAGTTCTGCTTTCTGTTATAACTAAGGCGATGGAGAGGGGCATAAATGAGAGCTTTGGACTAAACCTCGAACGTCACGGCTTGATTAGCGACAGGTTTCCGCCACCAGCGATCCACAGGGGAGCTTACGTCACGCAATTGAGGCACATGTCGTTGCTATGGATATCACGCTGCACTCCTATGCAAACTTCAATCCTATCGCCTCCCAGAAAAGCTCTGCAGATGGGTGGCTGACTGTCTCTTTGGCGGCAAGATATCCGTCGTAATTGACGGGTTCTTATCTTCATCCCACAACGTCAACGCGGGTGTTCCCCAGGGATCGGTCTTGGCTCCTCTTCGACCCCCTTTCCTGCACGATCAATCCAATCCACAGCTTTGCTGATGACAGCACTCTACATGCAGTAATTCGGAGTGACAGGCCGATCTCTGCCGCTGAGCTGGAAAAAAGAAGACTGGCTAGGACTTCCCCTCTGACGAGAGACCTGGAGGTTATCACTGCTTGGGGGCGCAACAATCTTGTACAGTTTAATACTTCCAAAACACAGTACTGTACCTTGACGAACAAAAAGCGTCCTAGCGCTCATCCGAGTTCTGCCAAAGAGTCATTCATTTCGACAGGTCGGAGTCCAGATCACCGAGGACCTGATCTGGCACGAACTCATCTCGACAAAAGCGGCAGCTGCTGGGAAAAAGTTAGGCTATTTGTTTAGGGCCAAGGAGTACATTTCTCCGCATGACCTTCTCACTCTATACAAGGCCCAGATAAGGCCTAGCCTCGAGTATTGCTCACACGTTTGGGGTGCTGCCGCCCCGACTACATTATTTATGTTCGATGCTGACCAGAGAAGGGCTGTCCAACTGATAGATGACTCTTCTCTAACAGACAGTCTCGGGACTCTTTAGCACCGGCAGGCCGTCGGCGATCTAGCTCTCTCCTACCGCTACACCAACGGGCTTTGATCTTCAGAGCTCTCTTCCATGATGGCGCCGCGCGATGTGCCTGCCAGACAGACCCGCCTGACTTTGATCTCCCATCCTAACCGTGTCGAACTTCGTACATGCAGAACTGGCCGATACGACCGCTCCTTTGTCCCGAGGATGTCGAGATTGTGGAACAATCTACAAGAGGAAGCTTTTCCCAGTTCTATTAACCTTGGGCAGTTCAAAAATCGGATTAACAAAATTTCTTTGGGATCCTCATAGCAGCCGCGGTGTCCCGGCATTTAGGCTTCTGCCTGCGCGGCTGCTTCGCTATACATGAAAAAAGACTATAAACATAGACATTGTGCGTTTTTGAGGGTCTCTTAGATTTAGAAATAAAATAAATGTTAGATTGCCGATAAGTCATGATATATACCTATAAGAAAATAAACATCACTGTCTTCAAAGCTAGTCTCAACAAACCAGATTGCTCTAGTTTCTTCGTACTCCCTAAACATTCCATATTTTGGATCTAGTATATCCCTTAAAAGTAAAAGGAAAAATTCTTTGGTTACTCCACCAGCATCTTCAGCCTCTTCCCCACAAAACTTTACCTAAAAATTGAAAGCAAAGGTAATATTGCAAAAATATACCCAAATAATAATTTCACCTTATCATATGCCCTAATCGGGTGAAACATATTACTGTTTTTTTTAATACGTTGGCTTATAAGATATACACTATACAATGCAAGAACTCTCAAGCTATTGAGCAATTTAGAAACTCCTGAACTATGAGAGATCAAAAAATTTATTATGCACAGTATAGTTCAAATGATAGTATATATTTGTCACCGATTTACCTTCAGAGGTTTTTTGAGCTCTGCAGCGTTGACTTGACTTAGCTCCCTCAAAGTATCATCAACTATGTGCTCTCTAGTGACGTTAAGTACTAAAAACTGCTGGGTAGCGCGTTGACTATTTGGTGAAAAAAACATTGAGACGAAGGCACTTTGTGCAGCATCGGTCATCGCTTTCTGCATCTATAATATCAAAAAATATATAGTTAATAGCCGCTTTACACAATCAAATAACGAATAAATTGTCAAAAAAATGGATGAATTTCTTCAAGGTAACAGTGAGCGAAATTACATGATCAAATTTATTAAAGTCTAGCATACCAACGCATACACTGGAAACCAAATACCACTGATGTCGTAATTTGTATGAGAGAAATACCGCAACATAACCAACGCTAACGCGCATCATTGGTTCGCTTAACAACACAGCATCTCGTACATTCCAAGGGAAGGTTTTCACCTCCATGATCACTGATGAGCGATTTTGGTCAGTGCCTATCTAGCGTTCATAAGGGCGTGTCGTCCTGCTTCGAAATGATTTTCACCTGCGTAAACGCAGGCGGTGACAATTTGCATTTCGTAACGTTATTTCTTACATTTTCCGACCGCTTTCTGTCTGATTTGTTGTGATTTTATCAATATCGGTGGAAATCAAAGATAATTCTAAAAGAAATTAAAAAACCAAATTGCATCAAAAATGAAATAAATAAATATTTCTAATCAAAAGGAAAACTCTCTCTGACACGTCCCTTCGACATAAAGACAAACAGCCTCGCGCCAGGCAGCCTTGCCTTCGGGAACATTGTCTTCTTGATCATTCTACTGTTGACATATGCTTTATGTCGACAAGAGTTGATGCAGCCACGATTGACGAAGTTTCGGAAAATGTTCCTAACCGTGGTCGGGCTAGGACAATGCTGGTCAGGGTACGTAAAGACCAACTACGCAACGATAGCTTCTCCACTTGTGGCCTTACCACCACAGTATCAGATTCACTTTTTGTTCACGAGTGAATGTGAAACCCATTGTGAAAATCAGTGACCGCGACTGTCGGCTGCGGTCGAAGAAATGATAGGATTGTAGATCTCTTACAGTGTAGCCAAATGTAGGAAAGCCTATGCCACCGTCGAGAGTTATTTGGAGGTCAAACTTGTAAATGCAAATAGTAATGACTATTTTGCACATCAGATTCATGTCGAGCTCAAGGTTTTACATCAGAATGCATTTCCATATATGAGGTCGAGTCATAAGTGACTCAATCAACACGACCTACTGTAACGTTTGAGAAGTACACGAACACCCCGAAAACGTGGCAACCAAGTATATTTTTGATGATGCACTTCTTGCTTATAAGATTCTGAATATTTTTCTACTTTACCCCTGAACTTGAACCCTCATCACCTGACATTTCAATTAAATATTCAGTTAAATATTTTGCTTATCCGGTCATGCGGCAATGACGTGATTTATCAGTCATTACGTGCTGTAAGCAAGAAAATAATAATATAGGGAAAGCGGAATAAGATATATGAGTACATTTGTGCAACCCAAATATACGTCCCTCGTGTGACCGACTGCCGTACGCTTATGTATGATTGGTATGGAGCACAAAACTGCATAGACTACATATTATTAATTTTTTTAACTTTATTTTTGGTAAAAAAAGCTGGTACTAATCGGATTATTTTAAAAAATCGTGGAAAATGGGCACGTTTTCGGTGATTCGGTGATTAAGGTCTCATTTCGATAGAAATACCAAAAAAATCGGTAGATTCCGTAGCATTCTAAAAATTGCTTATTTATGACCTAAGGAGGTGGAAATCTTGCCTTAGAATATACTATGAACTTTATGTCACAAATTTGGTGCGAAGTTGTACGTTTGAACTTACAAGTTCGTATTATGTATTTACTATGTGTTAATCCGATGGCTTTGTCCCGAGTCATAGTGCGCGTTTTTTCATTATACGCCATACTAGGAAGAAAAGTAGAGCATAGGATGTATGTATCATGTGCTTGGGTCAAGACGGGAATCAGCTATTTTGCACTCAAAGAGAATGAATGAATTTGATATTCTTACCTGTAAAGCCTGGTCTGTTTCTAATAATTGTACTTTGGCATGAGCATCAAATAAAAATGGATAGTTGCACAAAAACAGTTTTCCGCTCTATAATTAAAAAAAAAACATTGTAACTGTATAATTAACAATATCTCCAACCTTACCCCTTGGTCGGATAGCCAGTAGACGTAATCTACCCGTATATCCAGATAATCTGACAGGTCGTTCAAGTGGAAGGTGTCATATGGTACTTTTAGTCCGTCTACACTATGATTGATTTTGTTCAAAAACGCTAAAAGATCTAACATAGCTACTAGACTAGAATCATAAAATACCGTCTGAAACAAAACAAACTCTAGTCATTTTATGAACAAGTTGTAAATACTTTTCTGAAGAGCTTTCCATACCAAAAAGTTAAAATTAAGAGTAAAAAACCGTGGATCAGAAAAGGATTGAAAATATAATCTCGAAATTGGTGATCCTTCCACTATATAAAGAGATTTACAAAAAGTGAAAGTGTCAATAACTACTGTATGACGTATCACAGAATATATAAACATATAGCTTCAGCAAAAAAGAATTATTAAAATTAGAAAATAATAAATTCATAAAATAAAACCAAGGAGGCATGAAAAGTCGTAAATGAATTAAAAGGCAAGCCTCCTGTTTCCATCAACATACCACCTTTAAATCAGGATGCACTAAACATGAAAAAACTAAAACTAAAATACTACACAAAATCCATCAACATATAAATACCATACCATATAAATATAGATAAGGAATTTTTACTTTATCCCACGGATATTTATGAACTGCAACTAGTATTACGATCTATCAAAAATAAAAAATCATCAGGCTTTGATGAAATTTCTGTAAATTTTATAGCTAATCTTTCACTTGAGGCTCTTAATACGCTCACAAACATAAATATACAGGGTGTCCGCAAAGTTGGGGTTTTCCTTTACACGACGTCTAGGTCTTGAGAAAATAAGCCGATTTTCTTAGTAGCATTATACACCAATGTCTTGAGAGAAACGATATATTGGGCTCCGCAAACTCAATCAAACCTGAACCGCGCCAGCGTACAGTTATACCACGTACGACTACGATGTAAATACACTAGTATGCAACCTAACCGATTGCTGTCCAAAAAATAAAAAATAGCATACTCATACACCAATAGCGAACTAGTCGACATGCTGTTAATTTACGGTGAATGTCTTCAAAATGCGACCGAGGCTTGGCTACGTCGAGCACGCACATGTGTTTTTGAATCTAACGGCGACCACTTCGATCAATACTTATAAACTACGTTCACCAAGAAAAAGTGACACCGACGTCATATTTTCGATCTCTGTTTTGTTATTTTTGTTACATGTGCTCGTTGGATTTTACGACAGAGCTGTACTTGGAACTTCAATTCAACTGAACAGTGAGCACTTTTTCATTTATTTTTTTCACTTGTTCGCTCACGTTTCACCACACATTAGCTTTGTTATATCAAGCGTAGTCGTGTCTGAAAAGGAAAACGCCAACTTTGCGGACAGATGTTTACCCAGAATTTTTAAAAACATCAATAGTTCTTCCTATTTATAAAGGAGGTCCAAGCGATTTACCAGGAAATTATAGAGCCATGATTTTAATTACTGTTATAGCAAAGATAATAGAAAAAATGGTTAAATTAGATTAAGAGACTTTCTAAAAACGAACAAAATTATAGGTGACAACCAATTCGGATTTCAAAAACAAAAAATACCATAGATGCTATTTTTACATTACTCCAACAGTTATACTCAAATTTAAACGATAAACAATTTTCAATAGCTCTTTTTGCGACTGTTCCAAAGCGTTTGACTGTGTAAATTATATTTTATTAAAAAAATTAAGCAAATATTGTTGCTCAAAACATTTAAATAATCGATCCCAAATTGTAAAATTATCAAGACCTTATATTTAAAATAAATTAAATATAAATGCAGAGGTACCTCAAGAATCGTTATTAGATCCGATCCTATTAGTCTATATCAATGATTTAATAAATCTAAACATAAATGGTAAATTCGTCATTTTTGCTAATCATACCACATCAATTTGGTAAGACACATATATAAATGAAATCAAGACAAAAATTGTAAAGATGGTGTGATAAAAATTACTTGACTTCCAATGTTAATAAGACAAAATTTATGAGTTTTAAATCCTCCATTGAATTGATACATAAAACAGATATTATTAAATTTTTTGGACTGACCAACCTGAACAACAACTTGAATTAGTAGTACCTAAGTCAACTCAATCATTTTAATAGTCTGTCTGAGTTCTACAGTTCACCTACTTAAGATCCACATATGAAGTGGTTATAGATTAGTTCCAAGTTAACTTTGTCTTTAAGAATGATTTTATTCTTCAGAAAATAAAGCATATTTAGCTGTCTCTCTATCAATTTAAATAGTATGTTCATTTAGGATCGACTGTAAAATGGTCACTTCAACTATCGATTAAATACGCCTTAGCTCAGTAAAGCCTCAGCTCATCTTTGTCTTTGACATCTGTTCTGCAAGTCCGGATCCGTTGAGCCGCGGTTTACCCTAGTGCAAATACAAGGGGATTGCGCTTTCAATTGGAATGCTCAATCAAGGAAAGGTGAATTGGATACGATAGTACTAGATGGAGGGCAGGAAATGAAGCCTTTTATTAAATCGAAGCAGTCGCGCAGGCAGAAGCCTAAATGCCGGAACACCGCGGCTGCTATGATGATCCCAAAGAAATTTTGTTAATACGATTTTGGAACTGCCTAAGGTTAGTAGAACTGGGAAAAGCTCCCGCTTGTAGATTGTTCCACAGTCTCGACACTCTCGGGACAAAGGAGCGGTCATATCGGCCAGTTCTGGATGTACGAGGTTCGACACGGTTAGGATGGGACGCCAAAGTTAGGCGGGTCTGTAAGGCAGGCACATCGCGCGGCGGCATCATGGAAGAGAGCTCTGAGGAGCAAAGCCCGTTGGTGTAGCGGTAGAAAAGAGCTAGATCGCCGACGCCCCGTCGGTGCGAAATGGTCCCGAGACTGTCTGATAGAGAAGAGTCATCGGTCAGTCGGACCGCCCTCCTCTGGACAGCATCGAGCATGCACAATGTAGTCGGGGCGGCAGCACCCAAAACGTGTGAGCAATACTCGAGTCTAGGCCTCATATGGGCCTTGTATAGAGTGAGCAGGTCATGCGGAGGAAAGTACTTGTTAACCCTAAACAAATAGCCTAGCTTTTTCCCAGCAGCTGCAGCTATTGACGAGATGTGTTCGTGCCAGATCAGGTCCTAGGTGATCTGGACTCTGACCAGCCGAAATGAATGGCTCTTTGACAGAACTCGGCCATCCATCGAAACCGGATGAGCGCTAGGACGCTTTTTGTTCGTCAAAGTACAGTACTGTGTTTTGGAAGCATTGAACTGTACAAGATTGTTGCGTACCCAAGCAGTGATGATCTCCAGGTCTCTTGTCAGAGAGGATGTCGTCGCTAGCCTAGCGAAGCTGTGGATTGGGTTGATCGTGATGGAAAGGAGGTCGCTGATATGTACCTGTAAGAGAAAGAGTGTCGGAGCCAAGACCGATCCCTGGGGAGCACCCGCTTTGACGTTGTGGGATGAAGAGGAGAACCTGTCAATTACGACGGATATTTTGCGGCCAGAAGTAAAGTCAGCCACCAATCTGCAAAGCTTTTCTGGGAGGCCATAGGATGGAAGTTTGCTTAAGAGGGCAGCGTGCCACAGCTGATCGAACGCTTTCGTGATGTCAAGAGCAACGACATGGGCATCACCATAAGACTGGATGAGTTTACTCCACAATTGCATGACGTAAGCTAGGATGTCCCCTGTGGATCGTTGGTGCCGGAAACCATACTGCCTGTCACTAATCAAGCTGTGACGTTCGAGGTAGTCCAGAAGATCGCGATTTATGCACTGCTCCATCACCTTACTTATAACAGAAAGCAGAGCTATAGGCCTGTAGTTGTAAGGGTCGGTCTTAGATCCTTTTTTTGAGATGGGTTGGACATGAGCAAATTTCCAGTTTTCTGGGAAGGTACCGGATTCATAAGATATCTGGAATAGACGCGAAAGAACTGGAGCAAGCTCCGCTGCACAGCTCTTCAGTACAATGGCAGGAATCAAGTCCGGACCAGAAGCTTTGTTGATGTCTTACAGTCTTATGCCTGAATGTTACCTCCTGCATAGTGTAGGGAACCTTTGAATTGACGGCACTTGGGCGTTGGAGGGGGGGGGGCGTCCATGGCGGAGTTGGCAGCAAAGATCTTGGCTAGCACTTCCGCCTTGGCCTTTGAGTCGAATACAATCGTTCCATCTCGACATGTGAGTGTTGGGAGGCTACTGCGTGAGAAGTTCTTTCCAATCTGCTTGCCCATCGTCCAGAAAGACCAACTACCATTGCGCTGCGACATTACCCTGTACCTAACAGCGGGTTCTGACCGAAACCTAACCTCCACAACATCGTGGACTGAGTTACAGAGGGGAGACAAGACAACAGTGCTGTAAGGGACAGGATGCGTGGTCAGAAAGAGATCCAGCAGGCTACTGGCCTGTGACGAGACGCGGGGGAAAAAAATAGGGCTCGCCAACAGCTGGGTCAGCCCTTGAGTAAAAGCGAACGCTTCGACTGCACGACCTGCTGCATCGGTCTTGTTTAGGCGAAGCCACAGAATGCCCTTCCGGTTTGATTCCAAAGAAACATCTCTGGAGCAGGAAAGACTGCTGCGGACAAAAGCCACAACACCCCCGTTCTTTCTCAGATTGGAGTGCACCTCGTAATTTGGGATGCTCAGATGGTTAATCGATGCAGACACTGAGATTTTTGTCTCCATCAAGAAAAGCATGGCGGGGCGATTGGGTTTCAGGTAGTGATGAACAGCATCAATGTTGCTGTTAATCCCGCAGATGTTTGTAAAAAAAAATCAATGAATTAAAGAACAAATATTAAAGAGTTTTCATGTTATAGTTATGAATCGGCTCTTGGAATCGCGAGCACCAATTTGAAACTGAGTTTATTTTCTGCTGGAAATATATGAAGTTCGTGGTGAAACTGGTACCGTATACGAATGTAGTAGAGCTGTGTAGCTTCAATATTAAGAATATTATCTCATGATTCGAATACAGAACTCCTGAAGTCGCCAATTTCATATACAGGGTATTCCACATGTCGACGTCAAGCTGGAAATGGGGGGTAGGCCAAATCATAGTAGTTATCAGAAAAAGATAAAAAAATGTAAGAAGTGTACTTTTCAAATTAAATGGCTTTAAAAAAAATCGGAAAAATCTACACTCTGTGATGATCTTTCAGTTCCCATTACTACACATTTCAGTGTCATTCTACGTAGTGACAGCAAGACAGATAGTAACGCCACTTTCATTGTGTACACCATACATGCCAATATGCACCTCATTTATGGGGAATGTAGGTGCAATGCTAGTGCTGCACCCAAATGATGATCGTCATCCCGATCATCCAGTTTTTGTGAATGTGCGCCGTATTTTCAGCAACGTACTAACTTTTGAAATCTCTTTGATATCCCCTTTTCTATTTAAAGAAATGTTCTAATCCATACTAATTTAATTGCTCCGAATTTCGATTTGTCAACTTGTCAACGTTAAAAAAATAAATAGGTGGGACCTTTATGAAGAGTTCTGTATAAATAAAGATATGGCTCGAAATGTTACTTTCGCGATCAAAGTTCGTGCCGCGAGCCTTCAAGCCGATGTGCTAGCGACCAACACCGTAACACTCCGGGCTACCCAGCCTCGACTCGAATCCGCACTAACTGATTTATATTTCAATAAAACGTAGTTTCGAAAACGCAATATTGAAAGTAATAATGTTACCACTTTTTAAGATCCGAATAGGATTACCCATAAAGCTTACCTTTCCTTCTGGAACCTTCTGATTCATCAAAATATAGCTGCAAACTATCTTGAAATTATTCACTAGCCTTTCGAAGTAAGATCTATTGGTTAATGACCACCAATTTGCTAATACCTAGAAACAATAATACCATAATAAAAAAACATAAAATCAAATGCTAAAACTAAATAAAAAATGGACATAATAGTACACGTAGGTAGAGTGTGCCTTGGGCAAAGGAGCGCTTGGAGCGTTAGTATCGCATAAATATGGCAGAAAACTGGCAACCTGACAAAATAGAGGGAAAAGTGAAGTGACATTAACTTCGGTGATAATAGGTCATTTTCATATGACGTTACGCTCGCTCCTATTTTGCTTATATCTTTCAATTCCTTGGTGCAAATAGTCGGGAATCTGTTATTTAGTTATTTGCAAAAAATCATTGAAACGGTTTCTTTTCTGCGATGGTGAATTATTTAATGGGGGGGACAGAGACATATATTCTGCAATTTTCCCAAGTGCTTGTGAAAAACTCAATCTTTTGTACAAAGAATGACGAGATTTATAGATTAAATCATTGAAGAAGCGTCCCTTAATAGAAGAACAACCAAAGTATATATAAAATTAAAATAAATTTGGTGGATCTAAACTTGTATTTTATATGAGCAGATTTGACATGCTAGCATGATCCTGATTGGGTTTCCAGTCAAAATATGGAATACTATAATTCTTCAGATGGGATAGTAACTAAAGCATTTTTTTAAATACATTCGTCGTTATGAAGTATGGATCCGTATCGTACAAAAGACCATAACAAAATACGACTAAACCCTATTTAAAGAGTATCCATTACATGTTAACGTCTACTGAGGGGAACAGCTGATCAGCAAGTGACATCTTTTGTATTACGACTGTAACGTTGGCAATAAGGAATCGGGTGTAAATGTGGTAAAACTCAGGACCATATTAATTTTTTGTATGCGAGGGAACTTTTCTAAATGAAAGAGTTGTTAGCAAGTACAAAATGAATCCGTCATGTACAAAAAAACTACAACAAAATACGTCTCTGTCTATCTGGCGTTGACGGATTCACATACGGATCCGTCAGAATTGTGTGTCCACTTGTCGATATGGGGACTTTGAAATATTACTAAATAATCAGCTGTTATCTGCTAACACGTCTGACGTAATGGAGACTCTCTCTGCTGATAATCATAACCTACAAATGTTAACACCTGAAATGTGTCGGTATGCTTGGTTGCCAAAAAGCTCTTTACGGTAAGGAAAATAGTATATTGGTGTCGATCTAAGAATCTCTGTGAGGTTGACATTTCAATATCAGCTCCATAAGGCGTTATTGTATCGGGCCAATTAGTTTTTTATTTACGCTTGTGACTTACCTTACTTGCAGCCCGTTGCAAATTAAGTGCTGCTCTAGCAAATGGTTTATGCAATTTGAGGTGTTGTTTTGCATTGTTGAACTCATGATACAGAGGAATTGTAAGATATATACGAAGACTTTCAACATCGGGCGGGGACGGACTTAGATGAGGAATTATATCTTCTGTTATACAGTTCCATATCTGCAATTATAAAAATAAGTCTGATTTCAAAGCATGTACAAAAATTCAAAGGGTATTTGCTTGGATTATTCTAAGATTATTTTATCCTGTGATGATTTCCAAAATACTGTTTCGTTTCAGATATACCCCTAAAAGATGCCACAGAAAATTGTTATTTAGTAACCTTTGAAGAACACTGTATAATTCAAAGCATTTTTGTCAGCAGAGTAACTAGTTAAGGCCTCTTGTGGTATCCACAAAAAACAAATACATTTAAATGACCGGTGACGGACTAGCCTAATTAAACTTTTTTACACCTTGTACATAATAGTATAATAATCGCTTAAAAGTAATATCTTGAAAAGTCTGACTGATTTCCTGTATATTTGTTTGATTCCGATAAAATGATCAGTTTTTGAGAAAAATAAACTTGTTTCTGTATTCTGATAACAGATTCTAAATGAGCGATTCTTTAATTACCCTGTACCAATTTTAAGGCCACTTTATAAAGTTTGAGGCTTTTGCCTGCGGTATCAATCGATGGGAGCAGTATTGGAACAAGAATTATTTCGTCAAAAATGGCACATTTTATCGAAATCAAACAAAAACACATTTTTTCAGGTAAAGGACCAGGCTTTTCCAAAATATTTCTTTTGGGCCATTGCTAAACAAGATTTTAAATAATTTAACGTTATTGCATTAAGGCTAGTCCCGGGCTAGCCCGTATATGGCGAACTAAAAGTGTTAATTGCTTTCTGTGGACATCATCTTGGGATGCCTCGACTCGTCACTATGCTGTCAAAGTTTCGGTGAGTTTCATTATTCAGAAATGCCCCACAAGAACCATTAAAGGTGATCCCGACGATTTCCCATTAACAGCTCCAAAGTCGGTAGATTATATTAATAGCCTTAATGTTTGTAACTATTCAAAATTTGTTATATTAGTGGTTTCTTTTAATCATTCTGTTTTTGTGTGTTAATCGCCATGCGATAATTAAATAAAATAAATAAAATTCGGTGAGTTATACACTTTTGTTCAAAAGTTATTCAAGAAAAAACGTTTTTCCGTTGGCGTCTCTAGCGGCGTGTACCTCCGAAACGAAAAAACTACAAACTAAAAATATGATATCTCCTCTTCAGTAGTTCTAAAAAAGACAAAATTGCTACTGTCACACCCAAGCACAAACATCAAGGCCTGAGGATATCATGATACTTCAAGTGGTTTGTAGCTAGTGTAACCATAAACATATTGCTAGAATTACTGTAATAGAGCATATGTGATACTTTTTTGTTTCGATTGTAATGAATACGTATGTAAGAATAAGTGAATCAATTTAAATAAAACAATCTCTTTGAAGAATTGTTATTTTAACCAGTTCAAATATTCTCGTGGAAATAGACCTACAGTTACGATGACGACACTTCCGTTATCTACTACTGGTGTTATTTATTTCCGTCGGTGCTACCAATTTATTTCATTTTTTGCATCTTCCTTATCAGCATGACTGAGTGGGTAGGTAACTGTTTTTCTCAAGATATGGCTTAAAATGAATTTCTTGTTGGGTAAATTCTTGTCTTTAATTAAATGCGTCTGAAGTAGCTGTTCATTTTACAATATTTACTTGATACTGACTGATCAACATAATTTGTCTTACCAAATCTTTTATACTAGCATTTTCCAGTCTTCCTATCGTCGAATACGCAGCCTCCGTTAACTCCAAATCCACGCCATGATGCTTACTCGTACAGTAATAATGCCTATTACTGTCCAACAGAAAAGACCCATTCATACATGATAGACTTTTGAATACAGTTTCTAGGTAACTAAGAACATCTTGATCTACAGGCTTGTTTCCTGCAAATCGCTGAAGCCCTCTAACGTAGTCGAGAGTGAGTGTGAGTATCTGAGTTTCAGGATAGAGTTCTCGACAATCATACGGGGGTATCCTGCTTTCTTTGTCCTTGCATAACACCAAACTGTGATCACCGCCTAAATGAGGAAAAACAGATATACTATAACATCTTACCCTAACCCAAAAGCAATAATGCTACATTTGATTTATACAAATTTTATTTTTCTACATAACCCCTGCTAGTTGTTGTGGTGAGGAGGCAAAAGCTGGCATCTAAGTCCTTTTATCATTATGCCGTTACCGGTATACCAACGCTATGCACATATTACTGATACCACGTAACTTATTTTGAATAAACCAGCTCCGACGATGCTATAAACTAGTCTGGTGCGTACATATACATATAGACAAACACAACATCTATTGCTCGAAAACGTTACCTCGGATGCAGGAAGTCGAACCCGTAAGCCTTGTACCGGACTACCCAACCCCTCTAATGCCTAATAACATCAACATACTTGTTCAATCGGTGTTGCAGCATTTAAGAAGTCACCTGGCAAACATTTTGTCCGGCTGCTGAAAACCAATCCTCACAAACAGATACCAGAAATTTTCTAAAATTACCGTTGACTACGGTGGGTAGTAGTGGTGAGGAGGCGAAGCCTAGAAACATGCCACTGTTGACCCTTTTTGCCGACCTCGTAGAACCAACACTCCACATTCTATCTACTGGCAACTGATTATTAAATCAATCAGTCCCAGCAATGCGATGTACCTATGTTGATCTACCACTGAACGGGTGCGTAATCTACATACGAGTATAGACAAACACAACATCCATGGCTCGAAATTAACTTCCGAGGCGGATATTCGAACCTGTGAGCCTTCGAGTGGATGGACTAGCGGCTTGACGCGCTAACCAGCCACCAATATGACTGGAAGCATTACCCCGATGAAGCAATACGCGCCTCAATTTTGCCTTTTTGCCTAATGCGAGGGTTGATGCCTATGCTCCAACACTGACCCCCCTTGCAATACAACTATATTCAATTTATGTTTTTTCTAAGTGATCCCTTCTAGCATAAATGTTATGGTTTAACCAGCACCATGGAGTTTTGAACGACTATTGAAAACACTCCTCTGTCGCAGATATCACCTGTTGCATACGTAAAATTCCTTTTTCGTAAATGCTGTTTTAATTTTTGAAATATGAAATACTTGGGGATCAAAACTGGCGGATGTAGGGAGTTATCTGCCAGTTTAAAGCCTGCTTGGCATTAGACAGCCATAGCATGCAGGAGGTACGGCTGGTAGCATTATCCTGATAAAAAATCACCTGACTTGTTCTTTCAACGATTCTCTTGAAAAGCATCTGGCATATTTTAGATTGAACTTGCGAACTTTCATTTATAAAGTATATCAAGATTTATCAGAAAAACTCTTGAGGCAATCAAACAAAAGTAGCAAAGTTCACGTAGTTTCATCACAGGGAAATACTGAAGCAAAGTGGTAACCAATCTGATAGGATTCTTCACCAATCATTGTTTTAGCTTTTCAGATGAATACTAAAATGATGGCAGCTTGCATGAATTCAACAGTATAGATCTACAGTTGAATGTTGATTGAATTGTTGACCTTTAAAGCTGGAAGCAGATGGCGCTAGCTAGGTAGGCGTCATATCCGTTATATCTAATGTTATGAACAAATATGATCACCTCTCTACCAAATTGTTTATTTTTGACAGCTACGTTTGACAGCTTTGTCCTCGAACCACAGAAGCGCCACCTAGCGGGAGCAAAATCGAACATATCATTGCTAAAAAAATTCTACTCACCAGCAAATATTCTGTGGATGATAAGATTCTTAACTTTGTCATTTTGAGGAACCAGTGACATACCACTAGGCGAAACCCAAGGCCCCAGCACTACTTGAGGAGTAGACGCGCTGGAAGGCTTCCTTAAGCCCAGCTGTCCAGATCCGCCTATTCCAAAGCTGTAGACACGCCCTCTGGATGGAACGAAGGCCAAGGAATGTTGTCGCCCGCATGCTATTTGAGTTATAGTCGAACCCATTAGTTCCACAATCTAGAAATTAAACAATGATAAACATATTTAAGAGAAAGTGTACACAAACCGATCTTTAACGCAGTTGCTACTCGCTCTTACACACATGAAGTGGGTAAAGAGAACAGTTGTTTTCATTCACTTTCTGGAAATAACTTAAAATATTAAGTCCACTAAAATTGACAACCGCCATTGGAATGATACTTTTATTTTCACTTCTTACATAACACAACACAAGCGCCATCTTGTTTTTCTCAATGTATTGTTCTTCCTTCATATAGAGAGCTTAAACTGCCATTAGGTAGGGCCAATTTAAACCGCTAAGCTCGCGTATTCGTGTTGGCACAATAAACCAAGTCTTGGAAATTATAACCATATGAAAAAAAATCTTGCAAAGTTCAGGGATGATAGTTTAATTATCTAAATCTGGTTTCATTTTGAAAATAATGACAATGAGTAGGGTATATAAGGACAACTTACTTGATGACATATTTGATATTACGAGATTGATGTTTTAGAATAAAATTTTGAATACTGAGTTTCAACTCTTGTTTACCGTTTTAAAAAATAATACTTCAAAATAAAAGCGTACCTGTCGCGGTAAAATTTCATTACAATTGGATCCGTGGCCTAGTTGTCCGAACATTCCAGCGCCACATGTAAAAACACCACCATCAAGTGTCAAAAACATGGAAAACTCTTCACCACACGAAATATACCTCACTCTAATATTGCGCAAAGTCCGAAGTTGGGTGGGGAACACTTTATTTTGTGTGTCATTGATGCCTAGTTGTCCTCTCGTATTTTTACCTAGAAAAAAATAATGCATCAAAGATACTAAATAATCTGTGCGGAAATCATAATCTTCGGTAAAGATTAACTGACTTCTCTTAGATAATTTTACATACTTCACTTTTTATATAAATATTTTGACGAAACATGCGCATAGGACACTAGTACAGTACATTAGAACGCCAAAATCGTAAATTTTAAGTAACCCCTGAACTTATCCTGTAGCTTTCATATTCATAGGACTTCATCGTTGTCTAGCCGAATCAAAATCACATATACATATGTTTAGATTTGTTTTTATTGTTGATTTCAATTGTATATGAAAAAGACCACAATGGTGGTCGAAAATCCGTATAATAAAAAGAAATCTAAACATATACAGGGTGTAATTTAATTAATGGCTAAAAATACAGGATATAATTCCTTTGCTCATTTTAGGAAGAAAAGTTTATCGGAACATATGTCCTAAACCTCTTAACTTTTGAGCTACAGGGTATTAAGGTTTTAAGAAAAAATTCGTTGTCTCATTATAACTTTAATACTGATCTAGATATTTTCATAAAATTTGACATGCTTCACTAAGCACCAATAGGCATTTTTTGATGTAGAATATTTTTTGATTTTTCTACCAATGGCATCCGTACGGGAAAATTTGACCTCTTGACTTTTTCCGTCCGATGCACCGTTTTCGCGTAAAAAATAAAAACCATTTTCATTCATTTGTAGTATAACAAAATTATTTCGAACTAGTAGGCTGGTGCCGTATTTTGTTTTTAAAATAATGACATTTGATCGATTACATTACGAGACAAGTAGCGGTCTTATTTTGATAAGTATTCATAAACGTGATAGTTTTTTACATTGTGAAAGTCTCTTTATTCAATAATAAAAACAAAATAAGTAAACTATGCCAAGATTTGCAAATTCCGAGTTAGCAGATATGCATTTTACCTACCCAATGCCAGAATGTTTTCTAAAATACACAGAAGACTACACGAATGCATTGGCAATAATTCCAAAGGGGCATATCGCACGGCGAGAACACCAGAATTGGAGCAAGCTGTTTTAGACACAATTGAAGAACATCCAGAAATGAATACTAGAAAAATTGCGGTAATGCTTAATGTTTCCCATTTTCTTATTTGGAAAATACTTGATAATTTAGTATAGCCCTATCATATTCAAAAACTTCAAGCACTACTGCCGCGTGATTTTACATTGTGTTTAAATTTCTGCAGATGCTTTTTGGAAAAACTTGCCGTAAACCCTTTATTTGATATCAAAGTACTGATGAAGCTAGTTTTTCCCGCAATTCCATTCGAAATTTTCATAATAATCAAGTATGGGCTAAAGAAAACATAATATACGTAATTACGGAGGCATATCATCAGTAGCAGTTTTCCGTGGATATGTGGGCTGGACTAGATGTAGATTTCCTTCCAGGACGACTGGATCGACTATCCTATCGTCATTTTCTTGAAAACGATTTGCCAATTTTATCGAGTATGTCACTCTTTTATTAAGAGAAGAAATGTGGTACATGCATGATCGTGCTCCTACATATTTTAGCATTCATGCTAGGGAATTTCTAAATGAAGCGTTTACGAATCACTAGATAGGACGTGGGGGCACTCAACCTTGGCTTCTCAGGTTCCCTGATTTAAATAGTTTAGACTATTTTTTGTTGGGGCACGTCAAGACATTAGTTTATACTACACCGGTTCAAACTGTAGAGGAACTAAGAGAGAACATTTTACTTTCTTGCCAAACCATAAAAAATGCTCGATTTTTTTAAAGGGGCTGCCATTCCATGAGAAAGAATTGAAGCCTATATTCTAGCAGAAGGAGAATATTTCCAACAATTCTTGTGACAATTAAATGAAATAGTATGTGTTTATTTAATCCACAGAAATTGTCGAAACTTATTGCAACCTTGTTCTTTTAATTTTCATGCATTGCAAAATCGCTAAAATCTCATGTGGTAGTTTGTAGGTAAGATGTGTTTTTGTTTAGTTTTTATTCAAGTAAAGTCAATTGATCAAAATAGCCAAAATGGTTTTTATTTTTTACGCGAAAACGGTGCATCGGATGGAGAAAAGACAATAGGTCAAATTTGTTGCAAAATAAATGGGGATTTCAAGAATTATTTTCATTTTCGGATAAAGCAATGGCGAATCTTCAGTATACATCCCGTACGGACGCCACTTGTAGAAATATTAAAAAAAAATTGCACCCTGTAGCTCAAAAGTTAAGAGGTTTAGGACAAATATTCATATATACTTTTCTTCCTAAAAAAAGCTAAGGAATCATATACTGTATTTTTAGCCATCAATTGAATTACACACTGTACAGTAAAATTCACCTTCGCGGCACCCCTCTTTCACGTACACCTTTATATGGACAGTTTGTCATGGTGCCAACCGAATCTCGTATAATTTGCATTGTATCAACTCTCTCATGGATGAAAAATCTCTTGAACGGATGCTGACACGAGAAAATGTTCTCCTAACCGGACAGAAAACAAAATAAAAAGAAACGCCTTGTCTCATTTTTTTTCTGTTGAGAGTATCGCTATTGCATTTATCAATCGTGCGGCGCGCCATCTTCACTTTCTCGAATAAACCGAAAAAATACAAAAGAAACATTTTTTGTTGTTTTTTATAACATGCAGGATCTCATCAAAAAGACATTCGTTTAAATAATATAAAAATCTTATTTTTGCTCCCTAATTGTACTTCAGCTTGTCAACCACTTGACCAAGGGACTATAATGAGTTTTAAAGCTTATTACCGAAGTCTAATACTCAAACGCCTGCTAGTAAACATTGAAACTGCTGGTACAGCTTTTGAGTTGATGAAGAAAATTACGTCATTGGATGCAGTTTATTTGGCAAAAACCGCTTGGTACTAAGTAACCAAAAGAAAGTGCAAATTGCTTTGGCAAAGCAGGATTTAAGCATACAAATATGCAAAGTGAAGACCAGTTAAATGAGGACGATACATCTGACCCAGAAGATGACTTACCACTTCATGTACCTTCTGTCTTTCTGATATAATCAAAAATAAGAATTTACTGAAATTGACTGATAATGAAAACCTTTATGATTTTTTGAACCTGAACGAAAGTTTGTATGTTGAGATCTAGATTCAGGCCAAGAAATTGAAAATCCAGTTGAAATTCAAGAACTTTCTGAAGATTCTGATTCCAGTTAAAACAGAAGCTATTCCAAACTATGGTAAAGCTACTACCCTGACCAAGCAGCTCGATTTCAAGATGCCATTTTAAAGGAAAAGAAGAGACAAACGACAATACATGAATTTTTGCGTCCTTAAAGTGACTTTATTCATTATGTTGTGTTACTACATAATATATGGTATGTATGTACATACATATTATATTATGCATATGTACATACTTTGCATATATATCTAAAACCTTTTTGATTTAAGCTTTCATTTATTTTATAATCATTTATATACATATACGTTTTAAATGTCTCAGGTTCGTTAATATATTCAATTGTCATCAAAAACACGATTTTTGTTGTATTTCTTTTATACCCCTCTTGAACGGAGATTTTCAGTCAATCCCGTTGATGTTCGTACAAAGGAGATTTTACTGTATGTGGTTTTGGCGCGGCCAGACAATGGTTGTAGTCCTGTATTGCATTGAATTTAGTAAAAAATTCATCGTTTTTTATATATTTTTTTAAATCATTTAATGTGTTATTATGTTTCTACAATCTAAAGATACCATACCAAAGGTGATAGTTAACAAAACTCAAGAATTTTATTTAAATAAGACAGAAATGCTGGTGGCCAGTAACTTCCGATCATACGTTATGTAATCGCCATGTTTAATGTCAAAGGGGAAGTCTAAAAATACACTTACCCCAACCATATACAGCACCAGATTTTGAAACGGCAAAAGTATGGTTGGCTCCACATGCTATGTGGGTTATTGGAACACCTTTCAATGACTGCACTAATATTGGTGTGGTCTCCATTTGAGAATACTGTCCGACACCTAATTGTCCATAGTCATTAGCTCCCCACGTCAGTATTTCCCCACCTAAAAGGGGAAATAATATTCTGTGAACTTGCAGCTTTGTCATGAAAAAATAGACGTTAATCAGTCTTTCGGACATGAAGCTTTATTCCTAAAAAATTATATCTCATTAATTCTTAAAAAAGAGGGACTAGAACAACCAGTAAAAAGCGTTCTATTGTCTTTCTCACAGCACCATTTTCGGCAAAATAGTCAATTTTCATAGGTTCAATAAATGTTCCATCACTTCCCTGACCCGCACGGGTATTATGTAAAAAACTTGTAAAACGTCGAAAAAAAAAACAATAAAATGTCATGTTGCAGAGTAGGTAGTTTTTAGGGTGCAAAAAGTTCATTCCACGTTTGCTAGCTATGATCGCTGTGAGCGTGCATCTATGAAGGAATGACTCGACTACACGCATTGTTGATCGCAGAAAGGAAGTATATGTTTTGTGAAGGCGAGTAGTCTGTAGTGGTTATCACTGAGATGTGGAAGAAAGGAAGTTGGTTGAGTAGCAAGATCGCACCTGGATGATTATGTGTATTGGTCTGCATTCTGCATGTGTATAAAATCAGTGATATTTGCTATGTGAAAAAATTATTACTGAATATGCTGCCAATTAAGTATATCTATTAATTTAATTTTAATTAATATAAATTACGATATTTCCCGTTTTTTTTTTGTGTTTATAAATTACTGAAAATAAAAAATGATGTAATAATCTTTTCACTTACATAAATATTCCTGACTGTAGCATATTTTCTCACATGTTCCTCCACCAACTATGGATTTTCTTTTCTTATCTCTCTCATTTTTGAAATTCGCATTTGCATATGTAATTTCCAGAATAAATAAGAAAAAGTGGAAGTGCAACTAATTTCTAGCTTTGAATCTCAAGTAAGTGTATTCTAGCTATAGTATAGAACTTACAGTTTAGACCTCCAATAATGCCATCTCTGAAGCAGATTTTACATCACATCAGAGCGAAACAATGATAACACTGATAAACACAGGATTTGTGACATGACAATTTTTAGGTGTATATCATATGTATTTTGAGACCCTTAAATCAAATCTAAAAACAGAATTTTTCTATCACCCACAGATATTCGGTAACATCTACTTTTATGAATTACAATACGTCACATCTCACATTGCTGCATTTCTCGGCGTTTATGGGATAACGCACATATATAATGTTAAGACCTGTCTATTCCTGTTTATTATATGCGAGCTCTATGTTTAGACAGCATATTGCGTTTATTAGTAGACTAATAGCAGCCGAGTCAGTTACGTTTTCTGTGTTGAAGAGTACTGAGATGTTCTGAGTACTGTTAATTTTTGTTAAAACGGTGTGTTATTTTTAGTTTATTGTGATGGAGACTAGCTTTATGGACAATGCCTGAAAATTGTGTGAATAGTGCGAACAGTTTTTGTTATGTGTACGGAGAGCTAACTTTTAAATCCCAAAAACGTACTTTTACGCCACTTGTGTTGAAAGCATACGAACTTTATTTTGGAATTAAAGTTAGCGACCAAGATAGACTATGGGCCCCTCATATATGTTGTAAGACTTGTGTAACGTTGTTAGCAGGTTGCGGTACCAATGGCTCGGAGAGAACCGAGATGCCATACTACTGATTGCTATTTTTGCCTCACAAATATTAGAGGTATTGAACCAAAATCGAAACATACTGTTAAGTATTTTAATTTACTATCAGCTTTGCGGCCGATAAGCATACTGATGAACTTTCTGTCCCAGTTCCACCAGAATCTTGGTCTTTGGATGAAAAACTCGAATCCACCGATTCTGAAAGTGATGATACAGAAAGCGTAAAAATTTCCGATCCTTCGTTTGACCCGCCAGGATATTCAACAGCGCCGCATTTGATCACACAGGGTGAACTTAATGACTTAATTCGAGAACTAAATCTGTCGAAATCCCAGTGAGAACTTTTAGCGTCAAGATTAAAAGGATGCAATCTTCTCCACGATGATGTTAACATTACTTTTTACCGAAAACGGCAACAAGACCTCACACACTGTTTTGGCAAACAATTTGTTTGACGTGTTAGGACAGAAACATGATCCAAATGATTGGCGCATGTTCATTGATTCCTCTAAGCTTAGTTTAAAAGCTGTATTGGTACACAACGGTAATAAATCTGTACCTATAGCGCACGCAGTTCATATGAAGGAATAATATGAAAATATGCGAGTTCCACCAAGACATGCTATGGAAAAACGGTATCGAGGCAAATGGAGTTTCAATTTGCTTGCTGATTATTGCTGGACATTGTTGAGAGATACTTCGGGAGCAACATATCGCCGTAAAACATCGACAACAACATTCTGATATTAATGTTTATTCGAGTGTTTATTAGTACTCTTACATACATATCCTTATATTTTACGAGTATAAGCAGCAAATAAAATGCCTTATTGCAAGAAAACCGTGGGTGATAGAAAAAATCGAATGCTATTTCCGGCTTTTTGGGTACGTTTTACATAATAATCACCTTGTTTTGTCCATGTCACAAAAATTATTTTAATTTTGTTCACCAGTGTAATTGAAGCATCATGACATTCAGGCAACACATACAACTACAAAACGAGTTCACTACAAGTATACATCAGCTAGTGCTCAGTTAATATCTTGTAGAAAAATCAACATAATGTTACAAAAAACCAATATGTCTGGTTGGTTCTGAAAAACAGCTTGTGCTGATGTAACCCGCCAGGTAAAATAAAGGCCATTTATTATTATTATTATTATTATTATAAAAGATTATGCCACTGTTCAAGATACGTAATAGCCGTGCCGCACCCTTATTACGTAAACGTAATTAAATGTAATTTTCACTTTGGAACTAGCTATCATTCACTTTATATTCTCCTCTTTCAGCTGCGCATACTGCCTAAGCGTCAAAATACTAGAGGTATGTGTGATGTAACTTCTGCTTCAGAGATGGCACCAGAGGGAGGTCATTCATAGCGATATCTCGAAAGAAACGCCATAGTGCACAGTGATGATGCTTGTCGTTGTGTCATTTCCCCAGAGCTGGCGTTCAGCGTGAGACAATAGCATTCGTTGGAAGGTAAAAGAACCACGCCTACTTTCTTTCAGTAGAATATTAATACGTTTGCAAGATTTGATGTCATTAAAATAACTGACCGGCATTTAAAATGTAATATTTTAGTATAAACTTACTATTTGCTAACGCAACAGAATGTCGTTGTCCACAACATATCTGCACAATGTGGTATTTGACTAGCGCTCTAACCATCTTCGGTAACCTTTGAGCCTCTTCAGAGCCATTTTGGCCTAATTCTCCATGTCTGTCACAGCCCCATGAGTGAACTTGTCCCCAACTGTCCAAAGCCATAGAATGTGCCTGACCACATGCCACGTTTGCTATCGGATGGTTATCTAGACCTTCTACAGGGTCTGAAATGAATTAACAAATAAGTATTATACACTTGTTAACAACAGATTTTTCATAGTATAATTGTTTATACCTATACTATATATTGTGTGGCCAAACTGAGGTTATAATATTGGTTATTTGAAGCAAAGTTGCACAAAATGGGAATCACACTTTTACAAATTTAGCCGATAAAAAAAATAAGCGCTTTCTCATCACAACTGCTCAATACATCCCTGTTGTTTTTTATTGTAATATAAGTACTAAAAATTCCGGACATAAGCTCACTCCACACTCAGCATGTCCGGCTTTTGTTGGGCTCAAACAAGATCGATGCAGCATGTCGTGCAGTTGAAGCGTTCGCTTTACCCAAGGACTGACACTGCTGGTGACGAGTCCTACTTTTTCCCCCGCGTTTCGTCACATGCCAGTAGCCTGTTGGATCTCTTTCTAACCACGCATCCCGTCCCTTACAGCACTGCTATCCTGTCTCCCGAGCTTTAACTCAGACCAAGGTGTTGGAGAGGTTAGGTTTCGGTCAGAACCCGCTGTGGCAGCAGAAACTCCCCAAACCACACAATTTGCCTTTACGGACATGCCGACTAGCAGGGGCTCAGAGACTTCTTCTCCACCTTTACTTGGAGAGATGTTTGTTTCGCTGACGTGGATGCGTCGGATGTCTGTTCATCGATAACCGAAATTATCCACGTTAAGATGGAAGAATACATCCCTCATACAGTGAACGTGCCTAAACCAGAGTCCAACGTCTGGTTCAACAAATCGTGTGACACTGCGCGCCATCAGAAGATCAAGGCACACAGAACCTTCTCACAAAACCCCACTGTAGAGAACAGAAACAAATATAACGGAGCGGTCAGCACGATATAAATGTTAGGCATAGGGTAATGTCGCAGCGCAATGGCAGTCGGTCTTTCTGGACGCTAGCCAAGCAGATTGAAATGAACTTTTCACAGAGAGTAGAATTTCACCACATACATGTAATTGTGGAACGAATGTCACCGACTTAAATGCTTAGGCGGAAGTGCTTGCCAAGATCCTTTCAGCCAACTTCACCATGGACGTCCCCCCCAACGTCCGAATGCAGTAGTTTCAAAGGGTTCCCTGCATTATGCGAGAAGTAACATGCAAGCATAAGGCCGTGAGCCGGGTGCTTTTGTCGCTCGACATCAACAAAGCTTCTGGTCCGGACTTGATTCCTGTCGTTGTATTGAAGAGGTGTGCAGCGGAGCTTGCTCCAGTTCTTTCGTGGCTCTTCCAGATATATTACGAACCTTCCCAGGAAACTGGAAATTTAGTCATGTCCACCCATCGCAAAAAACCAACCCTTACAACTACATGCCTATAGCTCTGTTTTCTGTTATACGTAAGGTGTTGGAGAGGTGCATAAATCGCTAGCTTCTGAACTACCTCTAATATCACGGCTTGATTAGCGTCAAGCAGTATGGTTTCTGGCACCAGCAATCCGAAAGGGACCTTCTAGCTTACGTCACGCAAGTGTGGAGTAAACTCATCCAGTCTTATGGTGAGGCTCATGGCGTTACTCTTGATATCACGAAAGCGTGCGATCAGCTGTGGCACGCTACCCTCTTGACCTCCCAGAGAAGCGTTGCAGTTGGGTGACTGACTTTCTCCCTGGCCGCAATATATCCATCGTAATTGACAAGTTCTTTTTATCCTTTTGCGAGTTATAAGTTAGGCAGCAGATCACCATGTATTTTAGGTCCTAAAATTTTTAACAACCTGCCTGACTCCATAAAAAGGATCACCTCAATAGGCCAATTCAAATCTGAGCTGAAAAGCTACTTTATAAGTAACTGTTTTTGTGCAATTAGCGACTTTGTCAGTTTTTAAATATCGTTTTTATCACTAATTTTAACGTGTTTGTTGTTGGATGTTATTTGTTTGTTTTTTTATTTATTTATCTTGTACATATTTACTTATTGTATCTTTTTGACGAAACCTATACATGTTCATGCATGTCTGATGGAAAATAAATTTATTATTATTATTATCATCATTATTATTATTATTATCCCACAACGTCATCGCGGGTGTTTCCCAGGGATGGGTTTTGACTGCGACATTGTTCCTCTTACATATCAATGATCTCCTGTCCGATAGGATCATATCAATCTACAGAAGACCAGCAGGGACTTCCTCTCTGACGAGAAACCTGGAGGATATTACTGTTTGGGGACGCAACAAAAAACAGTAATGTGCCTTGACGAACAAAACGCTTTCTAGCGCTCATCTGGTGTCCATGGATGGCCGAGTTCTGCCAAAGAGCCGTTCATTTCGGCAGGTCGGAGTCCATATCACCGGCAAGAAAACATCTCATCAATAGCGGCAGCTGCTGGGAAAAAGCTGGGCTATTTGTTTAGGGATAAGAAGTACCTTACTCCGCATGACCTCCTCACTCTAAACAAGACCCAGATAAAACCTAGCCACGAATATTGCTCCGACGTTTGGGGTGCTGCCGCATCGACTACATTATGTATGCTCGATGCTGTTCAGGGGAGGGCTGTCCGACTGATCCATGCCTCTTCTCTAACAGACAGTCTCGGGATCGCATGGCATGACACCAACGGGCTTTGCTCCTCAGAGCTCTCCTCCATGATGCCGCCGCGCGATGTGCCTGCCAGACAGACCCTCCTAACTTCGGCCTCAAATAGTAACCGTGTCGAACTTCGTACATCAAAAACTGGCCGCTACGACAGCTCCTTTGTCCAGAGGGTGTCGAGATTGTGGAACAGTCTACAAGAGGAGACTTTTCCTAATTCTACCAACCTTGGCAGTCCAAAAATCGGGCTAACATAATTTTGTTGGAATACTCATAGCAGCCGGGATGTCCTGGTGTAAAAAAAAGTTATTTTACATTCTTCAAATATTTTAGGTGAATGGAAAGATAATATTTAATTAGACGATCATCGAATTATGGGAACTACTTCAGTTATTGTGAACCATAATCTGACCAGACTAAAAGTTTAGAAAGAAGCATACTACTACTTGGACGATTTGATACGGCATAATGAGGTTTCGAACACTTCAAAGTCATGGCAACACGGTAGAAGCCGCATGTCGTTAACACCATGACGCCTACATACCATGATTTGTCGAGAACCTCGCAGGTTAATGATTTCGTTCGACAAAATAAAAGATTAGTCACCACATCAGTTTTCGAGACAGACTTAAAGCAGACGATACAATGAATTCATGAATTTGTGAAAAAAGCAGCCACGCGTTAGTCCATTCTAGATTATGAAGCACATACAGACACATTCAGAATGGGCTATGAGTCAAGAGTTTCATATTTTTTTTCTCTCATTAAGAAATATTATTTATATTTCTATTAGTAATATAGCCAAAAAGATGATGTGCAACAAATACGGGGCAACGTAATAAAACCTTCTAATGCGATGTAATAATAACATATTCCTTTTTTAAATTGGTATGAATAATATAAACTAGAGAGCACAACTATAGCTCCATAAACAATTTTTGTTTTCATTTGGTCGGTTCAAATGTAACTTAGTATAAATGACAGAGTTGATAAAACAAACAAAAATAATAAATATTGTGCTTATTCAAACTGATTTAACAACAGATGAGGTGATTTGGAAACATGTAAAAGTGAGTAGTATAGCTCCACATTTTTTATAAAAAGTAAACCAGGCACTTTCATCTTAAAAGTAGATTGGCAAACCAGATATTCTGATTAAGCGGGCATACTGTTGGCCAAACTGTTCGACGTTAAATTAATTCAATCGTCCTCTAATGCACTTTCCAGGTTATTTATGAATGCGAGTTTTTTCTTCATACACTCGCCGAAATGAAATTTACCAGAGGTTTTTAAGAGATTTTAGGTCTGGAGAACAAGGTGGTCAGTTCAAGGTGTCAGTTTTTGTTTTTGCAAAGCAACATATCGACTGCCTACTGACATGCATTCATGCGTTATTTTGTTGGAATTTGTCATCTCTGTCATTATTATCGATAAAAAGTGGCACTATACTCGTATTTGGTCCGGGATCTTCAAGGTATTCTGCTCTTTTCACTCCTGTTGAGAGGTAAGCTAAGCTTAAAATTCCCGTTTTTGTGAAGGCTCCCTGTTTCAAAGCAACGCGTCAAAAAGTATTAAGAGTTCTTTTCATCATTTCTGGCGCATACTTTTTCTCAAAATCCTTCCAATTGTCTATCTCGGAACGAAGCTTTTTCAAGTAATCTTTTCTGATGAAACAAAAAATAAATTTGATAATTCAGGCGAACTTGATTCCTACTAAGGTGATTTCCAAAAGAGGACCTAAATATTTCATGAAGCGGAGCTTTGGAGAGGAAAGTTGTGGCGTAGTTTGTGGAGCTTTTAGCCAGTACATCAACAGGAATGAGCAGAGTAAACATACTTTAAAGCCCTCGAAGCAAAAGCAGAATGTTAACAAGAACAATCATGGACATTACGTCTTCCAGCAAGGTAACACGCGAATACATATTAATAGTATGTCAATCGCTTGGTTTGCAGAGAGCAATATTGAATTCCTTGGAGGGCCATCTTGTTCACTATTCATGAATCCTAACGCAAACTTCTAAAGAATTCCAGTTCGACGGGTGTATGAAAAAAAACAACACATCCGCCTCCATAAATAACATGAAATTAAACAACCTATCGGCCAATTCTGAGCCTGTAACATCGAACAGTTTGATTAACAGTATGCCGAGGAGAGTTTTGACTCGTATATAAAATCTGGTATACCAACTCATCATTAAGATGAAATTATTTTGTTTATTTTTGCCAAAAAATAGAGTGGGGCGATAGTTTTCCACCACTCACTTTCACATGTTTTTAGTAATCAACATTGAAGGATAATCCTGCAATTAGAAATAGGTCACATGATCTACTGATTGGTAAAATTGACACTCGTCTAGTTAAATTGTTCGCATTTCTAATTTCCCAGTCTAGAGAGTTTAATAGAAACTTATAATTACAACATCAATCCTGTCCCTTACTCCTTATTTGTATCATAAAAACATTCATTAACATTCAAGAAACAAGACAATCTTGCATTAAAATTACTGTAAAGAATAGGCAACAACATGTTAGAAAACAGTGCCATACTGAGAATCGCATCAAATGTGCCACTTTTGAAAGTATTTGGCGGTGATCTTATTTCATTCTTTATTACTACAGAGTGTCAAAGTTAGAAGTACAAATTGGTTTTTATTAAAATTTTGCATTAGAATAATTTTCGGATTTCGCTACAATATAAGAAAAACAACACTGATTTTAATGAAACAATAAAATTGTGAATATTTTGAAACAAACCCGGTTCAAAAAATTGATAACAGAAATGGCAACAATTTAACTAACGAGTATCGATTTAAAAAAAAGATTGCTGTATATCTCGAAAACTTTTGACTAAATAAAATTTTAACAAACAGTAGACCATGTCCAGTTGCACGATTAACCTTCCATTTCATTCCGCATATATCACAGTGCTAAATAGTTAATACGACACAATCTGCCCGCGTGCTCAAAGATAGATGAGGAATAAATTGTTACACAGTTCATGTAAATTTTTTAATAGCTGTGTTAGTGATAAAGCAAAGCAATTATATTTATACACAAAAATGGTGATTGTTTACATGACATTTAAGCAACTTAATGAAGTCCAAATGAAAATCCATTGACAAATTGATAACATTGCTCAAACAATCAAGGAACTCATAATGAAGGAATTAATGAACAAAAACAAATCAATTCTACATATATGTACAGAACAGTGTTTCTCAAAGTGGAAGATAACGCCCCTTGATGTCACTGAAGACCTACAGGTGGGCGGTAGAGAGCTTAAAGGAAATTGGTGGGCTAGGCAAAGGACAAGTTTTGTCCCCTCTCTTTAATTGTCACAAGGACATTCGCTCTCAGAAGCACTGATGCAGACGACCCCCCTCCCGCTATTTAATTTTCAATTGTCGATGCCACGTATATACACTTCATAACTGTCATAAGACATTCATTCTTAGAAGCACTGATGACGCTGCCACCGAGACAGGGGTCATCTTGAATAATTTCGGAGCTAAAAAGAACTTTTTCTCAAAGAGGATAAAAGACAAAATAAGTTTGGGAACATCTGGTATAGACTCTATCAAGCAAAATTAACATATTTTATTTACTATATTATTTCCTCACAAGACAAACATGGTTCCCTTTAGAAGTACAATTCCTCGTATTCCAGATCCATAAGCACATGCATTGCATAACAAGTAACCAGTGTGTTGCGACAATAGTTATGGGCGGGATTTCACGTTTTCAGATGACTTTTGGCATTTTCGGAACGGTGGATGAGGGTGACGTGTCTGGCACATTAAAGAAACGACAGATAATCTCATGCTTATTGTCGCTTTGAGGGACTTGACGTCATTTTTGGAGCGGGAATGCCTACCCCAGGTGGGCCTGAGGTTTGCTGGTTTTGCGCGGTGCCATCTTAAACCTGCAACGATGGCTTCGTGCAATTTCAGCATATTACAGGACCGTTCAGACAGAAAACACATTATATTGTCACATGTCAATTGTAATTGAAAAAGAAAATATGGGAATTCGAAACGCCGTGCAAAAAATTGAAATCTAAACATATATTTGGTTTTATTTCGGTCAGGCAATGTAGTCCTATGAACATGAAAACCTCAGGATCAGTTTCAGGAGTTACTTTAGTACAGGAAGTTGTTTTGAATAATCTGAGAATCTGGCAATTTTAATGAATATTTTTAATGTAAGGGAGTGATAAATTCGTTTCTTTCCATTTTTGTTCGTGTAATATTTGCCTCAATTGTATGTTTTACGTTGATCAATGATTTTACAGACTTATAGTAGCTAAAACTCAGATTTCAAGGTAGACGACTAAGTACTTCATCATTTTCAAGAAGTCATTCTATAGAATCTCTTGAATTATGTATGTTGCAGGCATGAGTCGCATCATAATACGGCTAGGTTTTTTCAATATGACTAGCCGCGGAGTAAAATGAAACAAATAATTCGATTTGATAATTTCAGGCATATTGTAACACACCAGCACCTTGTTAGGATTATGTTACAAATAACCTGTATGGGACTTTTTAACAATTCGACTAGGTGAAATCGTATTCCGTACTTTCCAACAATGAATGTTTAACAGCAATGATTTTAGCGCATAACAAGTCAACATTATATGATTAATTTGCATGGATAACATAACTGTATTTGATGGTCTCTAAATAGTCAGAAAATGATTGTTGGAATCAACTGATTATAATACGCCTGACTGTATTGTATTTAATAATCAAATTAAAGACGTGAACACCATATCAGGAAACAGTACGTTTCCGGGACCATATTCCCATTCGGACTATTTTCATATTCTCTTACATTCCAAATTTGACCTTAACATTCTGTAACATCCTTCATGTAATTCTCAGCACTAAGTATGTATAAAGCATTTTCGTTAATATATGACTGAAATAAAATATTGAAGTACTTCATACCTGTACTAATATCTTTGTAATACTGTTTCCATGTACATAAACATATTACATATTTGGTACAAATTTTGTTTATTATAATTAACTGAATATATACTGTTGAAGTAACATCACAGGGGCATTGTTTAAATCACAACACATCTTGAATACAACGAGATCAAACAAGATAAAACACTAATCAACATATGACTCCGCAATTCACACAGACGCGTCAATTGTGTGGGTTGTGATTCGCACCGTCAGGAGTAATATAGTACGTATCTTTTGCAATACTATGTCTTATACTCTGTACCAACCACAATTAAATATTTTTGACAGATTAGAAATACCTATATGCAAACTAGACCCGACCCTTTTATATGTTGCTCAGTGAAACACCCATGGTGGGTATGGTCATATGATCATGAATATGAATGTGGTCCCAACCCTGTGCCAGTAAACAATCACCAATTATTAACCACACACATAAAGCAAAAATTTCACATACTAAATAAAGACATACGTGGCCGCTTCCGGGGCTGATCATGCCCCAACTGTCCATAATCATTACTACCGCAGGAGTACAGCTTCCCTTCATTAGTCAACAACAGGGTGTGCTCATCTCCCAGAGCAGCACCTTTCACTTGATTTGCTAGGTACCAATCAACTACAGTTGGAGCAAGGATGTGTTCATCCTCCACTCCTCCCAAACCCAACTCTCCATGAATAGTGCTCCCCCACCCGTACATTATAGATGCTGCCCTAGCTGCCCAGCATCATCATTTTCTTTGATGGTACACCTGCAAAACATTCACTACGTCACACTTATGTCAATAACGGTTACGCTGTTAAGAACCTATGGCTGAAATTTGACCAATGGGAAGGCGCTTTTGAAGTAATGGATCTAATGAATTTGGTCGATTACCTGTAAAATATCTCTCAATTCACCCCTAATTCACATATAAAATCAAGAAACACTTCATATATCACCTGGTTTAACTACAAAAACCTATTTTTTTATTTGCTCAAACACAAAATTTGCGATCTAGACACAAATCCTGGCAATCAAAAAGAAGGATTTGCGATATAGGCGCAAATTCGACCAACCAAGAGTTTTTTTCTAAATACAACCACCCTGATTAAGGTGTCTCCTGCGCCTGCGCCGGCTGGACGTCACAGCCTTTGAGACATAAATCATACTGAAAGTATAAAGTTTAATCAACTATAGTGAACCAAGTTGTGTTTTCTTAGATATAGAATAAAATTTAATATACGTATATACATATAGAAATAACTCAGAAATGGATTCTTAAAATCATGTTCCGCAAAACTAACACCTATCCAACCGATATGATATATAAGGTATCCAAGATATGTGATTGTAGGCAACTCTATTTTGAGAGTGTGTTCACATATATGACAAAACATAAGCATTTATTAAATTTCCTCCCACATGACCATCACACCAGATCCAAAGATCATTCAGTACGCATACCAAAGCCTAAAAAGACCATAGGTCAGAGGAGTTTCACTTTCCTAGGACCAAAAATATATAACTTAATCCCCCCTCAGATAAAAGATATTAAAAATACAGAGGTTATGAAAAGGCATCTACGACTGTGGATTTTGGACCAGCACAGACTCAAGATTCATCAAGCGATTGATATCAAAAATATCTACTACTACTGAAAGCGGAAATCTCTCTAGATATTTGAAAGTTCAAAATGAAAAAAAAATGTATACGTAGTCATGCCATAAGTTCTGTCCCTCGTTTTCAAACAAGTGTAAACCTGTTAATACTTGTCCGATTGTTTACATTGTGGTGTCAGTTGATTAAGCGCTTTTCGGGTAATTACATATACCTCAGTTTGTATTGATCTCTCGAAGCATAACGATGGAGTGGGGCAAGGCAGAGAACCGTATTGCAGTGATAGCTTTACATAAGTGTAATCACAGTGCTAGTCAGATTTTTGAACTCTTACGCGGCCTTCAAATATCGCGTAAATTTGTGTCTAGGACCATTCAGCGGTACAATGAGACGTCCTCTGTTGATGACAGGCCAAGAAGCGGAAGACCTCGTCAAGTAAGGACTCCAGCAGCCATCAAAGCCGTAAAAGCCAGGATTCAAAGGAATCCACTCCGGAAGCAGAAGATCCTATCCAGGGAAATGAAGATTCCTGTCCGGACGATGTCGCGCATCATTAAACAAGACCTAGGGCTAGGGGCTTACCGGAGACGTACGGGCCAGCGACTTACGGCCACCTTGCGACACATCAGGGCGACAAGATCCAAGAAGCTCTTGGAGAGGTACGCAGCTGGGGGATTCCGAAAGATTTTGTTCACGGATGAGAAAATCTTCACCATAGAAGAAAAATTCAACCGACAAAATGACAAAGTGTATGCAAGGAGTTCACAGGAAGCTTCGGAGATCATTCCGAGAGTTGAGAGAGGCCACCACCCTGCGTCAGTCATGGTTTGGTGGGGGGTGTCCTACGAAGGGGTCACTCAGCTCCATTTCTGTAAACAGGGCGTGAAAACAAAAGCGGCAAACTATCAGAGCGACATACTGGATCCTATCGTCAAGCCTTTAAGTGGTACATTGTTTGCCAACCAACACTGGGTCTACCAGCAGGATTCCGCCCCCGCTCACAAGGCTAAGAGTACGCAGCGCTGGCTGGAAAGCAATGTGCCAGAGTTCATTGCTGCGGAAGATTGGCCCTCAGGGAGTCCGGACCTCAATCCTTTAGACTACAAGTTGTGGGACCTGCTAGAGCAGTTGGCCTGCTCCAAAGCCCACCGTAATATCGAGTCCCTGAAAGCGGATTTGATCCGATCAGCGGCAGCTATTCCTTTGGAAGCTGTGCGTGCAGTGATAGATGAGTGGCCCGCGAGATTGAAGCAGTGTGTGAAGGCCAAGGGGGGACATTTTGAATAAAACTGTTTGATTATGAATTCTAAAAATGTTGTCGAATAAATAATATCTTTCATATAAATATATCTTATCTTGTTTCATTTTTATCATGAGATTATCATGGGACAGAACTTATGGCACGACTATGTAAATCAAACTGATTTGAATTCTTACCCCCTGAATTATTGCATTTTATGACCAATTTTTGTTCTTGTCTATTCACCTAATATTGCCCTTTGTTTCAATGTTGTCTCTATCCCGATTGCGTCTACGTCCCGATTTTGCGTCTCCGTCCCGATTGTGTCTTTTTAAAAAAATTTACCAGGACTTGTCTAATGAATTTTATATACATATATTTTTTATGTTTTTTTTTAGTCTTAAGTTATTTATACATGAGCTCATGCCCAAGCACAAGTTTCTGCGAAACTTTTTTGGGTCCATTCGTTTATTGTATAATATTGTCTTTCATCTACTACTGCTATACTTTTTCTTTTGCAATAAACTTTATTATTATTATTATTATTTATTTATTTATTTATTTCCCCTTGATAAAAAACATTGAGTAGGAAAAGTGATACATTTTCAACTTGAATCTAAAAAACCTATATCTAACAAAAAACGGTCAAATAGTAAAAGCTATTTTAATAAGTAATATGATAAGGGAATCTAATTTTTCAGAAAAAAAGGAAAAAACACGTTGCTAAGTAATATTTTAACAAGAAGCATGAGTGCTGGTGGTAACAAAAATCCGAGTCAAATGTTTTTTGTTAAAACAAATATTACTTTGCACTGTTTTTTCGATATTTTCACAGGAAAAAATTAGATGCCTGAATGGTATTTGACAAGACTATTTCATAAGTAACAGATTATTATGGTGGCCTAGGAGACCATAATTACTTGTTATCAAAGGTATAGTAATTTTTAATGACAACAGCTGTCAAGTTTTGTCGCGAGGAAGCTAGAAAAAACTGCTGACACGTGCTGTCATACAATTTTCCCATCTAGAAACCATTTCTAATTCAAAATTGCGCGTTTGTGATTGATAGGAGTTAAGACGAGGGAAATAGTCAATTAAATAGTCCTTTAAGAGATTTTTAAATGTCTTTAAATTGTGACAGTTCTTTATTACCGAAGGCAGTAGGGTAAACATTTTTAGGCCATTAATATTTGGCGACTTACACATAATTTGAGTTTTATAGGGTGGTATATAAAAGTCTTCACCAATCCTTCTGTTAATCGAATGCATTTGGTCGTATGTTGGGAATTTTTCTCTATTTTTAAATATATATACACAAGTTTTCATTATACAAGCACTAACACAAAATAGCTCGGACATTATCTAATTTTATCTCAAACTTTACAAAATATTTTTTCTTTTATAAGACAATGAAATATATTGATTGGATATCATATTAACAAAATTATTGTCAAGTAATATGATATTAAACTATAAAACTAAACTAATACTGATAACAATATTTGGCTGACACATAAATGTTCTGACGAACCATTAAATAGCTCGTTACGTTTTAATAACAGCATTAATTCTGGCTTGCATAATTTTCACAGGGTTTTCGCAGTCTTTCGCCTTAAAAGAACATTTTGTAATTTTACTCGTAAATCAGAAATGTTTCATTGTCTATCATTCCTCATCCGTGATGTCATGAAAATGTGCGACATTTCGAAAAAGAGACATTATGAAAAATATTCTTCTCTTTGTTAAGAACCCTAATAATGCTATAACTCATAGAATGACCTGTAGTGTTAACATGTGATGCCAAAAGCACATCCTTTTGGGTGTAATCTGGCATCACTTTTGTGTGGAGTTATCCTGCCTTTTAACAATCTAGATGTTTGGCGAATGTAAAGTAAATTAAAGTTCTTGCAATTAATGCTATAGACAGTGTTGGTTAAGACAAGTAACGGAACTCTATCCTTCATTTTGGAAAACAAACTGTTAACTGTGAATACCTATTTACATGCAAAAAGACAATTTAAGGAGTTATACCATCTGATCAGTTTGGGAGTTAATTCTTTAATGTATGGCAAGACAGCATAGCTAACTCTCGGATTTGCAGTTACTTCTCTTGCAGTGTTTTTGAAAAAAAATATTGAATGAATTGGCTACAGTTTCAGGGCAGCCAGTAATGATACCAATATTACCCACTATTATTGAGAAATACTGCTATTTTCCTTGACAATTTTTTAACGATATTCCAAGCACTGGATTGCTAGATTCATTTATCTTGCCTCTTTCATTAACTTCTGATCTTTGTCAATTGTAAAAGAAGCCTGATTAAATTGTCGCACACTATAACCTCTCCAGACAGAAAATTTACAAATATAAATATATATATATATATATATATATAACTTGAGACGTGGTCATTGTCGTCTAGACCAGTTAGGTGAAAAATTAAATCCTCCTTTTGTTCGACAAAAATTTAAGCAAAGAGGACTCTTTATACTTTTTTTTATTCTCTCTAGCTTTCAATGGACTTTGCCATCATCATCAGGAGAGTAGTATGTGAGGATGTTGCTAATTGTTGTTTACGTTCAGGATGAGGGAAACACCCAGTAACATGGTGAAAGCTGGATAGATGGTCCAATGGTCAAAATTATATAAAATACACACAAATGTGTGACAAGAACAAGTTAAAAACAGATTAAAAATTTTTAGAACATGAAAGCATTACATCGTGATATATATAATTTCAATAGTGGATGGGAACATTCAGGGAATGGCAGTACTGCATGCAGTCTTGTATGCCAGCAGCAATATGGATTAAATGTCCAATCACATAAATCCAGGCATAAATGACTATAGTACTGATGTTCTCTAAACGAGGATATCATACCTTCACATTTTAAGTATATTCTATATACTTT